AGATTAGCCAATATGTTTCATGTACTCGGATATATGATTTGTGAGTTTGAGGTCCTAATGTAGCACATATATAACATTGAGCGTTAAAATTGTCTAGTGTGGATCATTCATCATTGTAAAGGATAGTGAATCTAGATCTCACGCATGATGATTTGTGTGAATACGCGAAGTAGCATTCAATGATCTCACGAGATCAAAATAGAGATTAGAGCCATCGAAAAGAGCCTATTCCATAATATATATTTTTCGTCCTTGAAATCTAAAAGTACCAAAAACCGGTTACATGGATGAAATTATGTTTACCTTCAACTCCATTGATCCCAATAACCAAGGAGCATGTTTATATTAGAACTTCACCGTTTAACATATTGCATTCTTTGTTTTTCTACTTTAATCTCATAAAAACAAAAAAAAACCTTTTATCTGTCACGCATGTAAAAGTGTAAAAGTGTAAAAATTGTCGTAATTTCGCAAGTTAGATGGACAGTACCTCTAATTAAATTTCTTTGTCCTATCAAACATCCTCTATTATTTTAAGAAGAAAAATAATTGATCAAATCGAACTTTATAATGTGCCCTTCCACATTTCACATGGACCCATATGGACCTTTCGATCATAATTAGCATTTGTTTAGCATAAGACCATCGACATTGGAGACCAAATATGGATGTCTCTAAATAAAAAAATATTAAAAACACACTCTCTCTTCTTTTTACTYAACTTTATACCTTCTCTTTCATCTTTTTACTTAATTTTTATTAATTTTATATTTAAACACACTCCAATTTTCATCTATTCTCTCTCCAAYTTTGTCTTCCCCGAGACATCCTCTCTCCAATAATACCCACTATCTCATCTTTTTACTCAAATTTTATTAATTTTATATTTCAATACACCCCATTATTTCAACCAAAAACACTCTCTTTCTTCTTTTTACTTAACTTTTAATAATTTTATATTTAAAAACACATACAAAATGTCTCCTGATGCTCTAAAACACTAAAGGAATAAGAACAATCCTATAACTGATATGATGACGCATGCATTATTAATAATTTTATGTACTCTCATAATGAGATAATAATTTCGATAATGTAGAGAGAGGATGAAGCTGGAGTCCATGTGCTAAAGCTTTCCATTTTATTCTTCTTTACTTTTGAATGTGATTAAACGTATTTTTTGCCCATAGTTAGAACTACGAAACCATATTTATAATTTATAAATTAAAAGCTATGAAGTGATCATGATACAATAGATGACAAAGTTCAACGAGCCATGGATCTGGTTCTAATGTTATTGTTCATTACACTTTGATTGATTACGAATGAGACTTACATGGTCCATGAGCTAATTAACTATGACTAGTCACATTTTAGTTTCAAAATTAGAAACAAAGAAAAAAAATCTGTTGTAAGAAGGAAAACGACTGGAAATGCTAATGATTTTCTCATACTATTCGAGTAATTCATTTTTGAATGTGAAATGTATGATTCCTGATAATTAAAATGAAAATTTAAATAATTAAACCCTCGTTTTGTGGGGTGTGTGTTGTATAGTTATTTTTATTCTTTTTGATATATGATTCACCATTGCATTAGTCTTCTGATTCAAGCCGAATTGAACCAAACCGAATCAATTGTGAGACAGCCATATAGATAAGGCCGGTCCGATTAGGAGTTTTTTTAATTGGTAAGCAACGAATGCATATATCTCAAAAAAAACATACCTACGAACATATTATAACGGAAAAGCCCAAAAGATGTGTAAAGAAGCCCAAAAGATGTGTAAAAAAGCCCAAATATAATTGGAGCAACTGTGGATTTAGGGTTTTAGAATAACTTCCTTCGCTTAGGTTTCTTCAGTGGTAGGCGTCGAGTCGAGCGAGAGTGGCTTTGGGAAGATGGCGAAATTCAACGAGGTAGCGAAGATGAAGAGAGAAGCGAAAGCAGACAGAAAACGAGCTATTCACGGCGATCCACTCACCGGTAAATTGAAGACAAGAGTTCCGGTCGTCTCCGTCTCCGGCAAACGTCAGAGAAAACTCCTTCGAAAATGGCGCCGAGTATGTGAAATTCCTTCTTTATCGTCTATCTTTTAGTATTGTGGTTGTAGTGTACAGTATAAAGCTTTAATTGCAATTAGAGCTTAATGTTTCCAAGTTGGTTTAGTTTTCGAAATTATTTAAAGTAGAAAGTCTTTGAAAAGTGTTGTTGTTGATCGAAAACAGGAGCAGAAAGAGATGGTGGAGAAGGGTCTTGTTACCATGGAAGATGTGGAGATGGCTTCTGCTGAAGGTAAATTGTTCATTTGTGAGAAGCTTTTTGCTGCATTGGTTGATACTTCACTTTGTTTGTGAGGCATTTTTCATTATAAAGTCTTGCTTGATGCTATTGGGAAATATCAATTAGGAAGTACTCAGAAATGCAAGCAATTTAAGTCTTTTTGGATTTGGTAATCAATGTAGAAAGGTTGCTTAGTTTTGTGTTCATAATTCTTGTAAAAAGGAATGATCACCGTGTTGTTCGCATATTCGCAGTAAGGCCATTTCTTGTTCTGTTTCTTATCTTTCTTTCAACCTTGTGTTGCTTTTTGCAAATCAGCAGAAAGGCACACTAATTGCAATGTACATTGTTTTGTGTATTCCATTAAACTATTCAGCAGAAATGGCTTGTCTGGATTCGCTTATTTCTCTTGTGAGTTGTGTATTGTATTTTGTCTCTACGTAAGTGAGAGCTGATCTCATCTTTCTCGTTTCAGGTGCATCAGAGGACTCAAAGAAACCCACAAGAAAATTTAGCGTAAAGAAGACCTTGAAGCTCAATAAACTAAAGAACAAAGGTAATTCCCTTGAGCTTTTGCAATACTCAACATTATCTAGAAGCAACTTAGCTGATCATGGAAGTAACATGATATTGTCATTCATGTAAGCAGGCAAGAAGAAGAAAAGTGAGAAAGCCACTGGCACAGGATCTGCGGATCAGATGCTAGAATGAGTGTCGTATAAACCTATAAACTCTTTTTCATCTAACAATCAAAGACCGATAAGACAAGTTCCTGGTTCGAATCTTTCAAAGTAGTGTGAAGAGGATGCAAAAGCATAAATTTTTGACAAAGAGTGAAGGGTTACTTTTGATAGGGTTTCATTTATTAAGTTTTCTGAATCTTGATAGTTTTATAATTTTGTTGTCGTTTTATAAAGATCACATTTTGTATTCTGATAATACTATATCCTCCACGCTATGCATTAGTCTGGTATGTGAGTTCCTTTGAAGGATAGAAGAAACAATTTGATAAAAACCCAACTTATCTACTCTAAACATCACACTAAATATCTCAAGATTACGACGTACGAGTTTATTGTAGACTTTAGTCTTATGGCAAACTTATCCTCTTTTTTATCTGTGCAAGTTGCAACAGAATAACCACATACGAACTCAAATCTGACGCATTCCAAATTACATATATTCTATGTGTTTTAGATAACCTAAATAAATAATTCAAAATTAGCATTTTTCATATATCAATTTTTTGTTCAAAATGTTACTCAAGTGTTCAAGAAAACTGTGGCCTTGTTCATTTGCTTGTAACTTAGCTCAAAGGCAGCACTAACAATACAATTTTAACACATAAGTAGAAATGTTTATCGTTTTCTAAATGTCAAATAAATTAGAAAACGTAAGGGGTGATCGAAAAATGACGTCATCAAGATTTGACTTGTAAACGAAATCAACAAATCTCTCTTAGATGCTCGACCACAAAATTAACCTTCGACCAAAAACCAGATATAGTTTGACTTTGACTTAATTAAAAAAAGTTGCAAGTATAATAAATAAGCTTAAGATCATAATACCATAAAATATACGTACGGCCTATAAATAGAAACTCTGATCTCCTCTCTTATCAATTCACACTAAAAAGTTTCCATAAAAAGAAGAAAATGTCATCAGCATTCTATCTCTTGCTCTTCTTGGCCATCTTCATCAGCCACACCACCGAAGCCGCGGTCGAAGAATCAGTAACCGAAATCAACGGTCAACGTCTCAAAACAGAGACCGACTACTACTACATCTTGCCAGTAGTTCGCGGCCGAGGCGGCGGATTAACCATATCCAAACCCTGTCCGAACACCGTAATCCAAGACCAAAACGAAGCCTCTAAAGGCCTACCGGTAAGATTCTCACCATCAGTCAAATCAAGATTCGTCCGTGTTTCAACAGATCTCAACTTCATAATCGCTGCAAGTGCGATCTGGAAACTAGGCAATTTCGACGAGACGACGAATCAAACGTTCGTTTCGACTTGTGGCGTCCAAGGGAATCCGGGTCGGACAACGGTTAGTAACTGGTTCAAGATCGACAAATTCGAAGATCATTACAAGATGAGGTTTTGTCCCAGTGTCTGCGATGTATGCAGAGTCGTGTGTAGAGACATTGGAGTGCTTGTGCAAGATGGAAAGAGGAGTCTTGTTCTAAGTAACGTTCCATTAAAAGTTATGTTCCAAAGAGCTTAGTCCACGAATTTTACAATGTTTTCACAACATTATCATCAATAATAAATAACACGTCTATTTCAATGCTTGTTTCTGCATATAAGATACCAATCCATAGAGAATGCCATTCATAACATAGTAACATAAGATCCTCATTTGGATAATTTACATACATAGAAAAAAACCTTACACATGAAAAAACAAACCAAGATTCTACTGAAGCGGATTGAAGTAGAAAGCTTTCCATCATTCGATGATGGGCACCTAAAAGGTGACCTTTCCACCTTAATCCCATAAGCACTGAGCAAAACTCGAGAACCATCAGGAAACTGGTTTTGCTCTAAGAAATCCCCAAGAACCGGTTTTGCTCAGGGGACGCATAAAAAAACTAAACCCCGCTTAAACCCGGCTGCTCCACATCTTTAGGTACTGCAATATATATCCAGTTGCTAGTACTACTATCACGCAAACTGTACAGAGATACGCTCTTCAGAACCGCCTCATCTCCCTGCGGAGACAAGTGTCTTTTCGTCATTGGCATTCGTCGATGGATGAGGAACAGGGAGACTCGGGTTGGAAGCGGGAATAGCTGCTTCTTTCTCGACTGGTACATCCTTCGGTGTGTAACTAAAGTTGAGTTCTTTGTTGGCTGCAAGTGCCACAAGCTCTTTCTCTTCAAGCCCTTTAATCGGACCAAGGCTGGATCTATCTGGTCTATGCTTCGCCAATGCGTCTCTGAATTTCTTGATCTGAAAAACAAAACAATTCAAGATTAAAAAAAATCAGATAACATGGTGGGGTTGATTGTTCTGTCTCGTAATTTAACGTGGATGAGAACGAACCGTGGCATTGGTACAGCTAAAGCTGCAAACACGACCTTGAGCACCTCGGTAGAATCGGAAAAACGGGAGGACATGGACACCGAGGCTATAACACATGGACTTGTGCTCCTCGTAATTCACCTGAAGAAACTGCACATCAGGGTTCTGCTCTGCCAACTGACACATCTGCAACAATCATAATAAAACCATTATGGTTTAGAAAAAATCTTCATTTCCAAAATCAAAAAGAGTCCCAAATCATAAACTACAATCCAAGAAGTGGCTTTATACCTTAGGATGCAGAGCCTTGCAGCCGCCACAACCAGGCGAGAAGAAATCGACCACGACGAGCTTGTCGCCAGCGTTTGTGAGCGAATCAACAAGATCTTGAGCTGAAGAGATCGCTCTCATGTTTTCTTTCAGACCTTTCTCCCACCACTTTTGAGCTGTCCCAATCCTCAGCGTTGTCTGCATCAATTTACACATGTCAGATCATTATACACAGATCCAAGGAACCAAAAGAACGAATTTGAAAAGACATAAACAGAATCGAAACCCTAAACCTAAATATCCCCATCTGGACAAGATAGAATCAATGGCTCACCAAGAAACTAAAGCAAAACCCTAAAAAGCTATCATCTACAGTATTTTCATCTATAAGCTCTCAAGATATTTGCAATTAGATCTCGCATGTCTGGATTATGTGAAATAAAAAAAAAGAATCAAATTAACCTGAGCTGTGATGGATGATGATCGGAAGCTTCGATTAAAGCTCTCGTTTTTAGCATCTTCAAAAAGGATCTGTTTTCCATAGAAATCACTTCTAAGAGGCTTCTTCAGCTTCAGAGAAGAGAAACTCTTTTTCAGACCAAACCCACCAAAACTCACCGGAGACAAAGAGAAATCATCATCAACACGGTGGTTCCGACAACTTGCTCCAAAGAACAAACTGGTTCTGCTAATCACCTCCGCCATTAGAGAGAGAGAGAGAAAGTATGAAATCTGGAACGAGAAAAGACCCAAAATTTACCAGAAGAAAAAGAAAAAAGCAAAGTCACACACACAGACGTGTCTTCACAGCAATCTCTTTAATCGCCAGCGAATTTTTTCTCTTCCACGAGAAAATTTATAA